GCATTCGTGGTTCTTTGGCAGCAGTGAGGGATTTATTGTCTGGCTCCTGTCTGGATCCATCGGGGGGGCTTTCATTGCTTCCCTGCCGCCCAAACTCTTCTGATGTGCTGTGTATTTGTTTGGGAGGGGGAAGGGGGAAGGTTAGATGTTTCTGACCTGCTTTTCTGCTTTTCAACTGAAAGTAAATTAATGCACACACTAGATTCCCCTCTGCTGCGCTGATTGGATCCTTGTGCCGATTAAATATTTCACACTGATAGAGGGATGCTGAAAGCACTCAGCTGGTAACATGGGATGTGTATCAGCGGTACAATAACTGACTTTCAAACAAAAGTCAAACAAAACCCCCAGTTTGCTGCAGTTTTGATTAGAATGAGTTTCACTTTGAATTTAAATCCTTGAGCCTGCTGCAACAATGGCTAATTAACTGTGATCTGATAGAGAAAAATGAACACGTTCTTACTTCTAATGACAGGCAGGCAGTAAGTTGTCAAAAAAAAAAAATACAAAAAGGAAAGGAAAAGGAGAATAAACCAACAGATAAAGCAGCTTTAAAAAAGTAATGCAGTGATTTAAGTTCAGCAAATGCAAACCTCCCTGTCCATGTGTTATGTTCTGTCTGACTTAAACCAGAGTTGGTTGCTGATGGGTAGTAGAACTGGCAACAGGAACTACTCCACCATCACCTCCTTCTTCTCCTTCTCTCTCTCCTCTGTCTCCTTCTCCACTTTCTCCTCCTCCTCTTCTTCTTCCTCCATGCCCACCCCCAGTTGCAACACCTGCACATTCCTACATAGGAAAACAGTATTTCAGGAATGGGGCCTAAAACTTTTCCCTGCCAGTGTCTCCATCCTTGGTTTCAGGGAAACACACCTTAATGTCCTCTCCTTGGGACAGGCAGCCTCTCACTCAAGGGCTGTATGCAAAAGGGAGCATTTCTGAGGGGAACCTTGGGCTAAAGAATACCCCGCAAGGCCCTTCTCCTCCGTTAACACCCACCAGGCTCCTTTCAGTACCCATATATATATCCACCTGCATGCTCGGCCCCATATCTTTATGCCTTGGTGCTTAAGGCTGAGTAGTTGGTAAATCCTCAGATCAAGCAGCACCAGTAAGTAGCAGCTTGGATGTGTATAGTAAACCAAAATCCTAAGACACGATACCGAAGTGCTATGGCTGGTGGCCATAGGGCCTTTATGTGTTCTCACTCTTGGAATATTAAATATCCCATTGTTCAAGTGACTGTTGATGTGACAAAGGAGTAAATTAACAGAGGTCATGGCCCATATGTGGCCAGAGGAGTCTGCTCAGCTGTTTGGCATGCAGGGTTTTACATTAGTGACTAGTGCTAAATTACTAATTGAGAAGCCGTAATTTCAGTTTGGAAGTGGAGAGCTGCTCCTCTGCGAGCAAACTGTCAGGGTTGTGTGGAGGGTTTTCTCTCATCCATGAGGCTGCTAAGAAGGACCCATATTGCTTTGAAAACAACTGCAATTTTTCACAGCAAAACCACTTTGTCAGGAGAGCATCATTCTAGAGAGATTAATGGACTGAAGTCTCTATCTCCAGCATGGGCGTTAAAGTATAAACATGATGGACAGTGTGTTTTAGGACCTTTCTGAGCATCTCGTATTCTGCTCTGAAAACATGAGGGGCTGTTGGGAGGCACGTGCCTGAGTTAAAATCCCTGCTATGGGGAGGAGCAGCCAAAAACAGGGCATTCCCCATTGAGGAATGTGAGCAGATTCTTACTTCTCATGTGCATGCGTGTGTGGGAAAGGAGGGCCAGGACTATGTTGGTACAAATAGAAAAAAAGATTCTCTCTGCTTTGAATAGTGAGAGCATTCCACGTCCAAGATGGAAAGTCATAAACAAGAAGCAGCCTTCTTACACGTTGGGGTGGGCTTGCGTGTGACTGGCATACATATTGCAAACTCTGTTTTGCCTGTGGCATCCTGTGGTGAAAATGAAAGTTGTGCTGCTATTGAAAAGGCGCGGCTTCAAAATTGGTGTATTGTGAGGGCTGGGGTGCTGTGGATGGGAAGCTGCAACCTGATTTCCAGCACGTAGAGCCAATCAGTTTTTCCTTTTTCTCCCCCCCACCCCCCGTTCCTTTTATGACTCTTCCATTTTATCAGCACATTCGCTGCAGCAGTGTCCAAAGCGTGCTTCGTTTCTTATTATCCATTATTCCAAAAGTGAAAGAGACTGTGTTGTAGCAACTGATTCTCAAAATGCAGATTTTGCCTTGCTTTATAACACAAGACTATTCTCTTAATTAATCTGGCAGAAATAGAGTGCAGATTTGGAATGCAGGTTGTGTGGAAGATCTCTTCTCATATTGTAACCTTTACATTGACCAATGCATCTTTATCATTGCCTTATTGGGGCCAAGGAATAAAAATGATCATTATAAAGAAAACAGCATAAGATCTCTTCTCCTACTTGCCCAATCTGACTAAAAGGGGCTTTTCTGAACTTTTGGAAGGCACACTTTCAGAAGATTTTTAAATGAGATACAGAAGAGGCTTTGTAGCTGCATTTCATCAGATAGATGATCTTTCTGTAACTCTTTTGGAAACAAAATTGAAAGACCTGATCTGTTGCCCATGCTTTCATAGACAGTTTCTAAAATGTGCAGTTATTTAAATAAGATCTGCATTGCATGGTTCCCTGTGGAGGTGACTGGCACAGACTGATATGTCCTTTTAAGCCCATCGCAAGGACAGAACTCTTTCAGTATTTTCTTTATTTCCTTCAAAATGCTCCAAAACCTAAGTAGGTTTTGGAATGGTCAATATTAAAAACATTTAATATTCATCTCAAGCTAGATTTTGAAACAACCAGTAGCCCCATATTATTTCCTCCAGTTTTTTTGTTCTTGTTGTGCACACATAGACAGTTTATTGGGAAAACGTGGACACATTACATGCAAAGATGTGCAAAAATAATTCACGGTTAATACATGTAGGGAGAACAGCAGAAAAAGGAAGGATGATAGCTCGAGTAGTGAATTATTCTTTTTTTCCTTTCAAAATTTCTGCTTTGGTACTTCTCATGATGCTTTCCTATTACATTCTGTCAGGCAAGCAGTAACCAACCCCCTACTCATTTACTTGCCTTTTCCACTGAGCTAGCACAAATTGTGTATCTTTTGTATCTTTTGGGATCATGGAGTTTTGTTTTCTTGGATGTTTTCTGCTTCTGAAAAAAAAAAAAAAAAAAAAAACAAAGAAGTGAAGTTGTATTAATGCCTGTAGGATATTATGCAGTAGAAGTTTTATTGAAATGAAAATATGAATTCAGTGTGGTATGACCAGGCATTTGTCATAAGTTTTTCACTCATTCAGTAATTAAACATTCACATTTCTGGGGAAAAACATTAAAATACACTTTAGTAATATAGGAACTACTCAATGATTGTGAATGGTTTCACTGTTCACATAAGAAGAAATCCTCGGGCCACTGCTGTCAGCAGCAAAACTCTGATGGTACGCAGCAGAGCTGGGATTGCACTCCTAGGCTGTTAGCTTCCAGATAATGGGTTTACATCACTGGAACAAAGACAGTGTTTTTCTTCCATCTGTGAACCTTTAGTGGTGTGCATATGACATAAATCACAGCAAAAACATAACCACAAAACTGAAATATTAACCTGAGAGCTTTGCATTGGCGCTGCAGATTCATGAGGTGCTGTGCAGGGAAGTTCTCAGTAGGTGGGATGAGGCATCACTCAGCTCTCCTGCACACAGCAGTGCTGCACCTGTAACAACACACTACTCACATGGAACAGATAAACAATTTTACAGAATTTTGTCATAAGCAACGTTTCCCACGTACCAGTGGAATAGTAGAGGAAACAAATATGAAAGCAAAAGTAAGCAAAATTTAAAATGATTTATATGAAGCCACCACAATCAGTAGAATAATGCTGATATATTAAAAGGAAGATCAATGTTCCTTTACATTAAAATATGAAGCAGGTATCTGTAATAACGCGATTTCATAAAAATATACTGGCAGTCCCCAGAGCAAGCATATTACACCATTGGGCTTTTAAAGCATGTAGTGAGTTTAAAGATAAGGAGGCAGCAATTTCTGTAAAAGTCAGTTTGGAACTACAGGGCTTCTGCGTTATTCCCAGAAGTGTTGTTTTCAGTTGTGATTCTGAAAGGAACCGAGAATGTCTGTGACTTGGTATCTGCTGGTATACACAGTGTATTTAAAACAGGCTACAAACAAAACTCTAACTGGCATTGCTGGTACAGCAGCAGCCCTAGAAATGTGGGGAGCCCTCCTGAAAGGCTGCACACACATCAGATGCAGCCTCTAGACAGCAGCACTATCAAGTGCATAAAGTCAAATATCGGCAGAGGTCTTCACAGGACTTACCTTTACTTCCAACTCTAGAAGAAATGAGATGCTTAGTACTTCTGAGTATCAGATGAGGCTGGGAACAGTCTATATCTGTACGCAGCCTACCTAAAACAGCATTTCTAAGAACAGCTCCTGGAATCACTCCAAGTGCAACAGCTCCATAAAGCTTTTGCTTTTCAGAAGCGAGCATTTGACACAAACACAGACACGTATGGTGTGGCCCCTCCACACAGCTGCACAGACCTCCGACACCGCTCTTGGGTACCATACCTGGGTGCTACAGGTGAGGGCAGCTGCTCTGCTGTGATCTCAGAGCTGTGAAGAGAAACAACGAGACTGAGAGTTAGGACGGATGCTTTAGAGAAGAGGTTGCTTGAAACACCTGAAAGGAAGAAGAAAAAAAATTAAAAAACGTAGTTTAAAGGTAAGAAAACATGACTCGCAAGTAAGAGCAAGGTGAAAGAACGAGCACTCAGCGAGTGTTCAGAGTGAGGCACTGGGTGAGAGAGGCAGGCACAGTTGAGAAGCGGTGCTCCGGGAGTCTGAGAAGCCGCGTTTTGCTGTTTCTCACGCACACCGCAGCACCACGAGCCCCGTGCTGCGGGCCGGAGCGGGGCAGGAACGGGATGGGCAGTGTGAAGACCGCGGCGTCCCTGCAGCTCCCGGGATCCCCGCACCGCGACCCGGCGCCCACCGCCTCCCAGCGGCGAGGCTGCGGGCGGGAGCGCCGCGGGCCGTGGGGTGACGACGCTCCTCTCTCTGCTTCCCTCCCGCAGAAGCTGGCGGTGCGGAGCTGCCCCGCGGCCGTGCTGGTTGGCGGCGGCTCCGGCGGCAGCGCCAAGCCCGGCGGCGTCCCGGCGCTCCTTAAGGCACCCGGCGGCGGCGGCGGGAGTCCCGGCGGCGGACCCGCGCAGAACCTGGCCATCTCCGTCGTGCCGGCCAAGGCGCCCATCGCGATGGTGACGGCGCACCTGAACGGCGGGCTGGGCGGCGGCGGCGGCGAGCCCCCACAGAGCGCGCCCATCAACCTGCAGACCACGGGCACTCGCCGCCCGCCCGAGCTCGGCGCCCGCGCCCAGGTAACGGCGGAGGGCGGGCGGGGCGGGCCGCGGGGTGGGGCGGGCAGGGAGGCGGGCGGGGCCGGGTCGCCCCGGGCCGGGGGGGCGCATGGGTGGGAGGGGGGAGAGCGGCGTGAGGGAGCGCGGCGGGAAGGGATCGCTGTCTGCGGTCAGCGCACCGTCGCAGTGGGTGTTCCTGGGTGTGCTGTGCTGAGAGAGGGAAGTGGTGCTGACGGAGTTAAAAGGGACGTCTGAAACTTTAGAGTGTGGTTGCTAACGTCTTTCCTACTTTCTGCACGTAGGGGCAGTGGTGACGTGCTTTTTGCATCCCAGTGCCTCTCCATAAGCTCAGGATAAAAGTCCCTGATCATAGGATGGCCTGGGTTGGAAAGGACCACAGTGATCATCTAGTTTCAACCTCCCTGCTATGTGCGGGGTAATCAGGACCGAAGAACACAGGGATTGTGTGTGGCACCACGCAAGCAATATCTGAACTGTCCATAAGTTAAGGCTGGGCTGGAACCTGTGGGGCTGTTGGATACCTGGGGAGATCCTTCCTCAGTGGCAGAGTGAGGGAGCAGCTCACCTTCATGCAGCTAGCAGAAGGGAAGTGTGCCCAGCTGCTGGGGAACAAGTGCTGTCCCCCTTCTGGGAGGGCACTGCTGTCTGTGCACTTATATTGATGCAGCTGCTTGGGGAATTCAGCTTTGAATCTCTGGTCTGTAACCATGCTGGGTCATTTCCTTTACTGAAGGTGTTGCTTGTACTTCATTAAAAAGATGGTTGAAGCTCTTCCAGTCGATCTTTCTTAGACTTTTGGAGAGTAATCACAGAAGTGGTAAGTGCATAAGTGATGAAAGTTTCAGTATTTCAGTGATCTATCATTTTATGAAAGACTGTCTTTTCCCATCACTGTTGCATTCTGTAGAAAGTAAAGAGTGAAAACGGGAGGAGGAAGCTTGAAACACCATGCAATGTAGTTGGGCTGAGCCATCATTTGTAGTTAGGAATAGCTGCAGACGTGGAACTAAAGATTTCCTAACTTGGTTAGCTAGCCTGCTGCTGAATTGCCCTTGGTGCTGTGCTTTCCATTTATTTCTTCCTCAGGGCAAGTAGGTCTCACTGCTGCTGTCCGCCTTCCTGGCACACTGTATTTAGCCCTGTAGGGCAGTGCCCCAGTGATGCTGTGGTGTTTTGCCCCAGTATTGTGTCTTTTTTTCACAAAGAGTTTTACTTTAAGCTGAAGCTTGTCATTATTGAAATAGCGTGAGAATATCGTCCAACATTTGGGGTTTGCCTTAATTTTGTCTGGAAGAAATGCTCCAGTGTTTTTCTTCAGAAATCTCTTCACATTCCCAACTTTTCAACAACTTTAATTTTGTGGTGCAGTATCTCTCATTATTTAGGCAGTGTATGCAGAGACACGTTAATGATGCAGAGAACTACAGCAGCCTTTGTCTTTTTGAGAACAGTCAGCAGGCATGGATAAAAACAATTAGAAATATTGAATTTTAAGTGTATAGAAACACAGGCTGACCTCTGTCCCTAAGCTGTCAGGGAGCTTAGTGCTGAATTGCATGTTAATTATCACTCTTCTACCCAAATTAAATTTGTTTTGCAAGGCTTCTTATTCTGATCCAAAGAAAAAAAATAAATCTGTTCTTTCTTCATGCTAATATCTTGATTGTATCCTGAGTACTGATTACAAATCAGTAGCAGTCACTCTTTAGCTACAAGCTCTGCAATGTCAGATAGAAATTTCATTGTTGACATTTATCAATAAGCATTTATTTTTTTATTTGTGGCATTGTTATGGCTCAGAAAAGTATTTTTTTTTTCTACTTCACTGTATGAAGTTTGTGAGATGGAGGATAATGACAGCCTTCTGCAAACTGAGTTTAAGGTGGTAAGCTGATAGTAGTAAATTAGATTACTGGTGTAGTATAGCCTATCCCTCTGCATCTGCAAAGTGAGGGCAAAGGCATAAAATGTTATGAGTAATGTTGTGAGTTTCTGAAGAGTGGTTTCTGCTCGAAAGCATTTAGGGGAATCAGGATGTGCATACAGTCATCTCAAGTGGTATCTAGTAAAAAGAATGGTGTGCTAAATGAAACTCAGTGGAAAAAAAAGGGCATCAAACACTGTCATCTAAATGCATAACTTTTACATGTAGATAGGATGAAATGTCAGTTTGTTAGAGAATTTTCCTTTGGACAGCTGCATGTCAGCACTTTCATTTCAGACTGTTGTTCACCTAGCAGATTTTTAAAGTGATTTTGAAATGCTGGCTGTAATTGAAGCCTTATCTGCATTGAAAAAGTATCTAAATAAATCTGTGTGTAACGGATACTGGAGGATTGTTTAGATATTTATCACATCTTTTATTAGAAACAGGAAATGTTGTGATATTAACCATGATTGAAATCTGTAAGCGTCGGAAATCATGAGCTCCAGAAGCCAACGCTAGGTCTACACTTTTCCTTGGCAGCCTTTCAGTGTTAATCCCATGTATGAAGACATAACTGATAGAGCTACACTGATTAAAGCGTATGTGTGGGTATGTCACAATTACAGCTCTTTATCCAGCACAGAGAAATGAAGCTTGGAGCTTCATTTGGATGAGCTGGAGCAAGTTATGCTGGCAAAAGCTGAATTTTGCTGGCATAAGCTGAATTTTGCTGGCATATGCTGCACACACACTAGGAGTGCTTTGCCTTCAGAGAACAGCTATAGCTGTTCTGTGTGGAGATTGCCCTAGAGCTATGGAAGAGTTGTAGGATAGCACCATTCCTGCACCTACATAGTGCTCTTACTGTAAAGAGATTTTAATATAACCTCGCAAATTACATTTTTATTGTATTTATGTGGTATTTGCTAGTTCCTATCCTAGCCATCATTTCCTCTCTAAAAGCAGGATGAGGTTGCTTTGCTGAAGGGCAAAATCCCATCTGCTGTACTGGAACAACACACTGGGTAAAGAAAATGCCCCTCTGCTACCTCATCTTTCTCTTCTAAATAGCAAAACTGAGGGCCAGCAGGCATCCCAGAACCTAGTTTGGGAGAAGCAGAAAGCCTTTTGGCTGTTCGAATGCCAGTTGGATCAGCCAGCTCTTGGGAGAGCAAGTAAAGAGGGGGGAATGCAGCTGTCAGCCCTGTTTTTCTGCTTTTTGAGAGCAGTAGAAGAGAAGAAAGCCCTGGATGAGTGTATCTGTACTGGGCCATGGAGCACCAGTGTGCAGGTACATAGCATTGCTCTGCAGAGGTGCTCTGCAAAGGCAGTGATTCCCTGTCCATCAGGACTCCAAATTTGACAGCATAAAGTCTGCCTTCTACTACTTTCCATTCTTCCCTTCTGACACTTGTATTCTTTGAGTCAGCTGGAGGAAAGTTTGGCAAGCTTTCACATGCACATGTGCTGTTGCATCTTGGGGCTTGTGCATACAGGGAGGTTATTTCAAAGTAAAATACAGCACGAGGATTTATGGAGCTATAAATTCTTGGCAGGATGGTAAACTGTTCTCCACAAATGCTTCATTAACTACACAGCTCAAAGAACTTCTTGTATCCTTGTATAGATTGAGAAGGCTACATGGGTATCAATATTTTTTTTTGTGGCTGTTTTTTTTTTTTTTTTTCAGGAAAAGGTAGCTTTTATATGTGTGAGAGGAAGCTCATATATACTTCTTACCTGTCTTTTTATTCAATTTACTAGAAAAAACTGCATTCCAGAAGTTTAAGAACATACATTTGACTGTGATGGCCATTTTTCAGAATAATTTATTTGTACAGTGATTTATTACCTTTCTCTTCTCCATCCCACTTAATGTGCTCGACTCTGCTTTCTGTAAAAGTGCTTCCTCCATAATTGGAAATCCACCTGCATGTATGACTAAGTCTGTCTGCCTTTTATTTATTATTTGTATTGCAGGAGTACTTAGAGGCTTTATTTATAGATTTATTTATCTCTAGTGGTTATGTGGCATTATATAGCTTTCTTCTCTGATCCATGTTACTATAATTTCTGAGCATAAGCCAATTGTTAATATATTTTCCCAGTATGGAATTATTGTGACTAAGGTACTTTTTTTCCACATTTTCCCAATGGAAAACTGAAAAATAAAGGATTAATTTATGCTTCATCACAAGAAAATCCCAAGGACTGTGTAGGATCACTGTGTTGGCATCCACACTACTGAACTTTTTGCTCATTTTAAGAATGAATTAGATGCATCCATATTGCACAAGGCACCCTTGGGAATATGAACTGTCCCATGCATCCTTGCTGCATGCCACAGCCCTTTTTTTGTTCTTGACATGAGTCTGTATCCATCTGGGGATCTGTGTCCATCTGGATCTGTATCCATATGCTTCACGCAGGCAGAAATCATAGAATCATGGAATATCACAAGTTGGAAGAGACCTTCAAGCAATCACCACTCCTGACTCCACAGAGGACCATCCAAAATTTAAACCCTATGTCAGAGTGCATCATCCAAATGCTTCTTGGACTCTGGCAGCTCAGTGCCATGACCACCTCTGAGTATCTTGTTCTAGGGCCTGACCAACTTTTCCTAATTCCCCCAACCTGACCCTCCCGTGACGCATCTCTGTGCCATTCCCTCAGGTACTGTCACTGTAACCAGGAGCAGAGACCAGCACTGCCCATCCACTCCCTTACTCCCATTCCGAGGAAGCTGTAGGCTGCTGTGAGGCCTTCGCTCAGACTCCATTTCTCTGGGTTGAATAAACTAAGAGACCTCAACTAGTTCTCATACTTCTTCTGTTCTAGACCCATTCTCATCTTCACAGCCCTCCTTTGGATACTCTCTAATAATTTTATGTCCTTCTTATATTGTGGCACCAGAACTTTCACACAGTGCTTGAGGTCAGCAGAGCAGCTCCTGATTACAGGCTCCTTTTAAATATCAGAAGTCTGCATTGAGGTCTCCCCAGAGCCTTCTCTTCTCCAGACTGAATAAGCTCAGCTCCCTCAGCCTGTTTTCATAGGAGAGATGCTCCAG